TGTCACGCCCAGGTCACATCTAACTGTCAGAATTTTGATAGGTGATGCGACTGTCAGGGTTCAAATCCGTAAAGCCTAAGATCACGCTTGTCACGCTCAGCAGACAGAAAATCAAAATTCATTGAACTGTAAGTGGAGGTCTTAGTATTTCTGCTCGATTTCTTGTATTTGAAGTCTCCTCAGTTACTAGTATATGTTTGTAAATTTTTAGAAAGCTTCATGCAAAGGATCGGATTAGATCTTAAAAAACATTTGCATACATCACACATTTTGATGGGCTGAAAACCACCTTTTAAAATCCTGCGCTCGTCAAACTCAGTTGTTGCAGAAAAAAAGTTCACATTCATATTAGTGACAGTCATAATTAGCCCAGAAAAAAATCCCAGTAAGCCTGTGTCAATATTGAGGGAGGAACATAAGGATTTCAAACTCCTGAATCATATCAAACTCCCGGACACTGATAGTAACGAGCTATGTTTCTTCCAGATTCCCCGCCTTCGGGATCTACGATTTATTTCAATGCACTCCTCTTTGTTGCAATCCTCTGACACCTCTTTCGCCCTTCCTCTCGCATTTCGTCATCTGAGCCACCTTATAACGCTCTCCCCCCTTTGATGTTCTAGCTACCCTTCTCTCTCTTGGGCAGCATCATCTCCCATCCCCTTCGCAATCGGGTTGCTGGATGAACTTTACATATGGACTCCAATCTCAGAGGAAATGGAGGCTTTTGGAGGTTGGGCAATCATACTTTCCAGATTTCAAGAAATGTCACATTCAGGAAAGATTCTTTTTAGGTAGCACCAACGGGTGTCTAAGAACTCGTTCGTTGATTGTCTACAGTTACATGCACTCTTGACGTCGTTCATACCCCTCTGTTTCCTCAAAAGGTGGGGGGAGGAAGGTATTCGTTGCTCTTACGCCGCCCCGACGTCAATGTATCACCATGGATTCATACCCAACCCCACGGTCGATCGTTGCGCGACATCCTTGCCAAGTCTTATCCAATTCTTCTTCCCTCTGGTCAGCCACCGCAGACATTGCCTTGCCATTCCCATCACCCCGGTGGCCGACATCGTCCGGAACGACACCTGCCAACAGTGTTCTCAATCCAGGGAAAACGGGGAGTGCGTACTATTGTGTAGTGGGGGAAGGTCCTTCGTCTTCGTCGTTGAGTGACGACTGCAGAAGCAGTGATGTCACCCGTGCGAGTGGCTGTCCCGATATTGGATGGTCCCCCTACGACTCCATGGATGCATCCGATGGGAACACTGAAGGGTTTAACGACTACCAAAGGTGAGCTCTAACTGATCACCTCCACACTACACCCCTTCTTACTGATAGACTGTATCCCAGATGAATGCATGTTAGCAACTGCCCGAACAGATGACGAATTCTTATCCTTGATGTACCCAAAATCCTGAGATGGTTAGGATTTCACTCTATTCTATCTCTGCTCCTTGGCTGATAGGATAGATCAGCCTAGGCAATACCTTTGCATCATCTTTCCCTCCTTCCCCAATGACGATGTCGATCGACCGCTACCTACTTAACTATCCTCAACACGTGCGATCTCTCGACGACCAACAGGGTGATAGATGGATCAACGTGGTCCTGGAATACACTCTCGCCCGTTCCACCAACTTTGTTGACTAGGAAACTCCCCTCTACCTCACTGGCACGCTGTCCACCGAACGCCATGCAAACACGTCATTGAAATCCTCTGCACGCGGTGTTGAGGCTGGCACTCCGTGTGTAATACCCCTCGTCTATAAAGTCCAAACTCACCGCTAGCTCAATATTAGTATCTAGGCGCACAGGATAAAAGGCAAGAATGGATCTACCGTCCTTGACCCTCACAGGCGGAGCAGTATTGCGAGTGGTACGTGGTGTTTGTTAGATGGGTTGGGGATGGGACACTGATCCGATTACTGATAGGTGGTGAGCGCAAAGTAATATTGAGGATTTGAGGGCAACGTAGGAACTCTTGCCAGTGAATATCAGTGAAGGTTACATAAGCTCAATAGAACACCAACACCGAAGGCAACCATCTGCTAGTCTCCTCCTCGGTATGCCAATTTGTATAGAAAATGTTCGATTTCTCCTGCTAAATACATCTGGCTTGACTTGGGTGGCCGCCTCTTTACAAAGCGGAACTCAGAGGACCAACAAGTTCACGATGCTCACCCTTCTCGCCAAGAATCACACCTGGACAGAGAAACCGGAAATTGTGGTGCGTGTCGCGTTTTTCTTATCCGATTTGATCTCGCTCATTGTGGACACGATAGTATCCGCTAAGTTTCTTCGGGTGAGTATAAGGAGCGCTGGCCTCTTCCCTCAACAGACGGATGTTCACAAGACCTCGACCTCCACGCCATTTCTTCTCTCGACTCAAAACCACGACCTTTCCTTCGGGACACCTTGGGTGTGTTTTCGCTTGCAATTGTCGAAATCGTTCTCCAACACTTCTCATTCACATTTCAGGATGCCAGTACTTCCTTATGGGTACTCCTACAAACCTCGGTGGCTTTCTGTTCATTTGATTGCGTGTTTACCCGTTTTGCCTCATATGAACGCACTTTCAAGATGGAATTCTGTGCGGCAAAGCCACCTTCTTTCAAACATCCGAGCTTTCGCTGTTTCTAGTATCTTACCTGATAGTATGTGTCATTTGAGGTGACGCCATATTGTCCTTTAATATTCTATGACTGTAGCGGAAGACGCCACGAATACAGAATTTACCTTTTACGAAAGACTGGTTTGTGACCATCGTGAAACCTCTTTGTGGTTGGTGCCCTCCGCAGGAAAACAGGGATGATATGGGTAGACGTGGTCAGTTCTCGAAGTGATTGGTCGGTTCGATTCTTTATGACCTATCCTGCTCGCATTTCAGGCTAACACCGTGTGCAGCTGCCCGGCTACTCAATCGACTTGGAAGTTGCTGAAGGTATCACCCAATACGCCATTTGAAGATTTCCAAGAGCTAAAACACACTTCTAGCCCAAGCAGCTGCATAGAGTTCAAGCATGTTCAGTCGTTACCCTGACTTGTGCCTTCAATCCCCTTGGAGCACAGAACGTCAGCGAATCGGAGTCTGATATATGATGACGCTTCTTCTACGTGGTTTAGGATGCAATGACTTGAGGATGCCTGCAAAGCTCTCTTCCCTTCATTGCACGTTCTCGAGTCCGAACGACGCCTTCTTCCAAAACGAACTCTCATCCGGTAGTCTTCAAGAACTCAAGACTCGGGACCGAATCATGGTTTCAAAGGCACCAGCGCCCATAGAGGACGTCTAGGGGTTGCGATGCATGCGGAGAAGTTGAGGTGGACGGGGAGGATGACAACAAAGAAGTCCGAGGCAGATGAATGAGCACGGGTGGGAGGGATGGGAAAGCAGAGGTGGGCGGGGAGGGCGTATGCGTAGATGCTAACGTGGCAGATGAAGAAACCAACAGGGCACCCGAAGCCGAACTTTGAGGCGGTGAGGATGATAAAGCGGACAGGGTGGGACATTGGGAGATGATCGTGCTGACGAACGGCGGGCACGTCGTTGTAAAGGATATAGAGTCTGGTGAGTTTTTGAATTTCTATGGATCTGAAGCGCTAATGTATTTTCGAAATAACACAGGCGAGGCTTGATAGCGGACATGACATATGGGAACGAAGTGGAACGACCAACAGGCGCGAATAGCAACCACAAACGGCGCTTAAACGAACCCTCGAACCAACCTCCAAAGCGGCATCCAGAGCAAAATTACAGCGCGACTCACCTGACTAGGCATTCCAAACAGCCTGAAAATGCCCCACAAGTCGGTCTCTCCACGATT